ACATGAGCCATAAAAAGATGCGTAAGGTTTTGTTCGGTAGGCGCCACAGCAACCGCGCGCTCGTAAAGAGTTGTAATTCGATCAGGACAACCTGCCTCCTGAAAAATTATTTCATTTACGGTCTAATTCATTCACACAGTCCCAATCCCAGGAGACTATCTCTGTGGAAGATATACAATTCATCGCTTCGATAAAAAGAGCACAAAGATACGTATGCTGCTAAAAAGCTCATGCGGTTTCGGCATTTCCACTAAACCTGTCTCTGCCTTGAAGTTTTTCAAACTCAGGCAAAAGCTAAGTAATATCGTCCACAGCATCAAGATGAAGAAATTGTGAATAAGAAAAATTTTCTGTTGCCTTTCCGAATTGAAAAATCGCATAGGGACTAAAGCGTGAAAACCATGCCACTTAAACACATACATTTCCAAAAGCAATTTGATGGAATTAGGTAGGTCACAAAATAAAAAAAATCTGCAGCAACACAAATTAGCAGTAACTTAGTGGTAGATCAGCTGCTCAATTGCTGGTATGCCCTATTTTGGGTATTTGCTTGCACAGGGAAATTTGATACTAGCATAACAAAACTTCGACTAGAAAACATTTAAAGAAACCTGTCAGGTTGAAAATTAGGAATAGGAGTTAAAACAGACTGAAAATGCTAATAATCATAACACAATAAAACCTACCTTGAAACAATGAACAAAAGCCTGTAGAGTCCCATCGTCAAACTGAGCACCAGGAACATCTAGCGTGTTTATGATTTCAAAACCTTCCGCTAATTTGTCAGAACGGATCAAGGCCAATGCTTTCAGTACCTTAATTATGAGAGATTTATTGTAGTAAAACTGCAGTACATTTTTTACTTTATAGTAACTTATTCGAAAGTCATCAAAAAGAGGAAAATAGAACGATGCGTATTCATTTCGTTGAGGCTTAAAAAGTGAGAAAGATGAAGCAACTATAAAATTTCCAAAAAAAAATAATGAATAACATTTTTACAGCACAGACTTTCCCAATGAGCACACCTACCTCAGCATTTTAAAAATGAATTTTTAACTGGTAATAAATTCGTACTGGAGCTCTTCTCAAGATGTTTGCACACGATTCTTGTGAAAGTTCAATGAATTCTCAACTGGTAATAAATCGATTTCAAAACAAAAAAGTTCAAGCAATAGATTTTTCTCTGAAAACGTGTACAGGAATGTGAAATCACCTTTGCACAAGTAGTGACCGGATGCTTCTTGAGAACTTTATCGGCTTCTTGGACGGCTTTCTTCGCATTACCAGCATCTATGG